ACTGCGGAGCGGGACTATGTCGAAGATTAACTCCTCGCTTCGGAAGTTATCCGGAGATCCGAAGACCACTTCCAGTGTGACTGAGCCTGTATAGTTGGCTTCTACACCTGGTATGACGCCTTTAAAGGTCGTTTTGGTGGGCTTGATCCTCGAGGGATCTATGCCCATTTTTCGCACTGTATCCTGGTAAAGCAGGTTCAGGCTGCTGCCGCCGTCCATGAGGACTCTTGTGAGATGAAATCCGTCAATGATTGGGTCTAGAACCAATGCGGCAAAGCCGCCGTGGCGGATGCTAGTGGGGTGGTCCCTTCGATCAAAGGTGATCGGACAGGAGGATCATGGGTTGAACTTTGGGGCGTCTGGCTCTATCGCATATACGTCCCATAACGCACGCTTCCGCTCCCTCTTGGGGATGTGGGTTGCGTATATCATGTTCACCGTCCGCACTTGCGGGGGAAATCCCTTCTGTCCACTGTTGTTCGGCGGCCTGGGCTCCTCCTCGTCATCGCTATGCAGCCCCTTGTCTTTGTTTTTGGCTCTTAACTTGCCTGCCTGCTTAAACACCCAACAGTCTCTGTTGGTGTGATTGGCTGGCTTTTCGGGGGTGCCATGTATCTGGCACAAGCGGTCGAGTATTCGGTCCAAACTGGATGGGCCCTGAGTATTTCTTTTGAATGGCGTTTTCCGTTGACCGGATTTGTAGCCTCGGAATCTGGCATTAACTGACGTATCCTCGTTGTTGTCGCTGTTAACGCGGCGCTTTTGTTTGTTCCGACGCGACCTGTCGCTTTTGTCCTTGGTATTCGAATTACCAGGGTTCTTGGTTAAATTGTTGTTGCGAGCTAGCCAGCTGTCTTCTCCCGCGCAAAAGCAGGTCATGAGTGTCGTGAGGGCTGCCATAGATTTCGGCTTTTCCTGTCCCAGGTGCCGGGCAAGCCACTCGTCACGGATATTATGCTTGAAGGCCGCTAAGGCCTCTGCGTCCGGACAGTCGACTATCTGGTTTTTCTTTGTTAGGAACCGTGTCCAGAATTGCCTGGCCGATTCCTCTGGCTGCTGAATTATGTGGCTTAGGTCATCGGCGTCCGGTGGTCGCACATAAGTGCCTTGGAAGTTGTCAAGGAATGCGGCTTCTAGGTCCTCCCAAGAACCAATTGAGTCTGCTGGCAAGCTGTTAAGCCAATGCTGGGCCGGTCCCTTAAGTTTGAGTGGGAGGTCTTTGCTGGCGTGTAGATCATCACCGCGGGCCATGTGGATATGAAGGAGATAATCCTCGATCCATACCGCAGGATCTGTTGTGCCATCGTACGATTCGATGTTTACGGGTTTGAAGCTCTCAGGGATTTTATGATCCATTACTTTATCTGTGAAGCATAGTGGGTGTGCGGCGCCTCTTTATTGGGCTATATCACGACGCAGCTCGAAGGAGCTTTGTCTGTTGAGTTCGGCCCGGCCGGATTTATTGCATTCGGAGTGACGATCACCGTCACGTGTCGTGGGGCGCCTGCGTGATCCGTAGATCGATCTTGTTTGCCTTGCCTTGTCCTCCAGTATGTCGTGCAGGTCGGGCGCATTTTCCTGTGCCTTAGTATGCTTGACGCGGCGTCGGGGCATGGCTTGAGCGGAGGGCCAAGAGGCCTCTCTGTCGCGGCCACGAGGTGGCCGGTTGGCCATGTCATGCGCTGGTGATGTAGGTGCTTCCTCCTCTAGTCGGGGTAGCAGCCTGCGCTTTGGGTAACTCTTGGAGGGGCGTTCGAGTTCATACTCTTCGGCCGCAAGGACTTCAGTCCATCTGTCAGCTAGCAAATCCTGATCAGTTCTAAGTTGTTGCTGCTTTTTCTTGAGGCTGCTTGCCGTGGCCATAAGCCTGCGTTTAAAACGCTCTTGTTCGGCGAGATCCTCTGGCACGACGAACTCGTCGTCGTCGAGGCTTGCCTCGTCTTCGGAGGGAGGCGTATTATTATCGTCCTCAGCCTCTTGGTCCGCCGCCCTCTCGTGAGGGCTGGCTTGTCTGTCCTCCTGTGTTGAATCTTGCTGGAGGGGGTGTTCTTCGGCGCTGTTCGGAGTAGTATTATCTCCCGTGCCGGAATCACTGTTTTTGCTTTGGCGGGATTTAGAGCGGCGCCGCTGACACCGGCGCTTGGGCTGTTTTTTAGAGGTATCGTCCCCCGCTGTTCCATCGCCATCTCCATCCTTTGGAGTGTCCATCATATATATGTCATATGACGAGGTGGCCTTCCAGCGCCCTATAGGTGCTGGTTCTTGTTCGTCTCCTGCATCGTCGTCCATGCCGTCGATGTCTTCGGAGTCAAAGTCAAGCATGTTGGTTAAGTCGTCGACAGTGGCTACGAAGTGGGTGGTGGGTGGGTTTTGAATTTCTTCATCGTCCGTATCCCAACCTTGCTGACTGTAGTCCGGCCAGGGCTCTCCTGATAAAGAGAGAGACTTTAGAGAATTCAGGATGTCGTCGAAGGGCGAGTGCTGAAAGATGTCCGCGGCGGTGAACCCCATTATCGGCGCCCAATCGGATTCGATCGGCAGGGGCGCGGGGGGCTCGGAGTTCGGAGAGGAATCCGGCTCCTCGAAGTCACGGGCCATGCGGAGTGCGGAGCTGGAGTTCGGCTCGATCGCCTCTGAGATCGCAGCCCCTGAGGCAGCGTCCAACTGCTGATCCTCGATCGGCGCAGTAGGCTCCGAATCAACGGTCGGAACCGATGTGTGTGCGGCCTCCAAGGCGCTGTTCGGCGGCAGAGCTATATCATGCCCATCGAGATAGTGCGGCGCGCTTGGCTGTGGCTCGAATCCGTCGAAGATCAAGTCCCCGCGGATGTCAGCCGTATAGTTTAGGCTTCCAAACCTGACCTGATGGCCAGAGGCGTAGCTTTCGATCTGCTCAAGGTGGCCAAGCGAATTGGCCCGCAGTGCGAAGCCGCCGAAGACGAAGATCTGTCCGGGGAGAAAAGTCTCACCCTGGACTGCATCGTTGTTGATGATCGAAGGAGCCATCGGGCCTAAAAGCGACGACACAGAGGAACTCTCAATGAAAGCACCAATGTCGGTGTCAAAACCGGCGGATCTCGGGTAGGGGGTCCCGAACTGTGCGTCTAGGCCGGATGGTAACAGGAGGCAAGGAACACGATGTTTTACCCAGGTTCAGGCCCTCTTGATGGAGGTAAAACCCTACGTCCTGCTTGATTAATATTGATGATATGGGTAGTACAAGAGTAGATCTACCACGAGATCAAGGAGGCTAAACCCTAGAAGATAGCCTATGGCATGATTGTTGTATGATGAAGTTGTCCTATGGACTAAAACCCTCCAGTTTATATAGACATCGGAGAGGGTTAGGGTTACACAAAGTCGGTTACAATGGTAGGAGATCTTGAATATCCGCATCGCCAAGCTTGTCTTCCACGCCAAGGAAAGTCCTATCCGGACACGGGACGAAGTCTTCAATCTTGTATCTTCATAGTCCTGGAGTTCGGCTGAAGGTATAGTCCGGCTACCCGAACACCCCCTAATCCAGGACTCCCTCAGTCGGTGTGGCGATCTCTAGCATGGGCAATGGCGAGGTCAATGGCGGAAACGACTTTGCTGAGCTAGAGTACATGAACATCACGGTGATCACTTCCAACAAGCCGTACGGTGCGCGCGACGGCTCGAACCCGTTTTTCGACGGCCGTGCGACACCTAAGTTTGGTCTGAAGGAGGGTGGAGTTCACAGTGGCCATGTCCAGACTGGGATCAGAGATAGCTTCTGCCTGGTGGAGGGAAGCAACACAGGAAGATGCCAGGTACTCCCTCCGTTCCAAATTACTCGTCGCAGAAATAGATGTATCTAGAACTAAAATACATCTAGATGCATCCATACCAATGACAAGTAATTCGGAACAGAAGGAATAGTTATCATTAACTTGTATTTCCTTTTGAAAAAAGGGTGGAACCCCCGGCCTCTGCATCGATGGATGCACACAACCTGCAGTCAGTTATTGCAAATTTTACAAGCATAAAAAAGGTCCCAAAGGCAAAACAAAAAGGCGGACATTAACTTGCATTTCTCCTTATGTATAGGATGGGTACACCAAGGAAGTGGCTGGTTCAGAAGGAGTTTGGGTTGAGTTGCCACGAGCGCAAAGCCAAACACGGATAACAATAGCACGCTTGATAGGGAATTTTTCAAGAGCTTCCTAGAGGTGAGCAGTATATATGCATGATTGACAGTTGGCATGCATTTGGAGTAGTATCTAAAAGATTGCAGCATTCAAATTTAATTAAACAGTTTGAACACGTATCGTGTATGAGAAATCATATGCATAAATTTTAACTGAACTCTTTCCTTCACCAGGTCCTAAATCTCCCTAGGCAATCAGGTCGCTTTAACATCAGTAAACAGTTCCCATTTTACAGAGAAGTCCTTTATAAGCCAGATTTCATGAACGTGAGCAGGGGAAAGCCAGTTATTTTTGACATGGACATGAGCCCTGGAGATTTTATTTCCCTTATATATCTATTGAAGACACCAAGAGAAGCTATAGATGTAAAGGTGAGGCAAAATATTACCTTAATTGGAAATCTGTTGAAGGGACATTATGCAACAGCAAAAATTTCTAATAAAGACTACTTTACTAACATATTCTAGGGGGTTTTGGTCAACGGCAACGGCTGGGCGAACATCGCAACCATCGATATCGTTTATGACATTCTACATATGATGGGCCGCGATGACATTCCAGTTGGCCTTGGCAATACCACTGCATTGGGCAACCCAACCCTTGGTTGCGACAATGCCTATGCTATTCCCGTGGGCAGTGGTGGATTTATCGACTCAGATACATTGTATGGACTGGCTCGGTTATTGCCAATAAGCCCTAGAAGGTAAAGAAAAAATTCCGCATTCACTTCATTTGAACAAAAATGTGACGATGGCACGGAATATTGACACAGGTACACTCCTGAAAGCTCAGATGATCCGGAGCATCGGCAGCCACTGGCTTTTGAAGTGTGGCAGTCTGTCAGGAGGCAACTTTGTCCAGGTGACAAGATAACTCTTCTTACCAGTGGACCTCTCACCAATTTGGCCAACATTTCACTCTCTGACAGGGATGCAAGCTCTGTGATAGAGGTCAGTATGCTCCCTATCTCCAGACCTCTATAGTTTTGACCCAATATCTGTGAACACTGACCTTGCTCAACACATTTTCTCCATGTGCAGAGAGTTTATGTTGTTGGAGGGCTCATCAGAGATGGAGGTCATGAGAAGGGGAATGTGTTCACTGTTCCATCGAACAGATACGCAGAGTTGAACATGTTTCTTGATCCTCTGGCTGCAAAAACAGTCCTGGAATCCAATCTGAATATCACACTCATTCCCCTTGCAGCGCAACGAAAAGCTGCTTCATTTGAGTCTGTCCTGGAAGCCTTGGAGCAAACCCAGCAAACTCCCGAGTCAAAGTTTGTCCGAGAGTTATTTGCATTATTGAAGGAACTTCGGATCAAAGAGAAGCTCTATCATCATGTGGTAACTGACTGCAAATCACCTTGTTTCCCTGCGCACATACTTGATGCTCCGTGTAACTTTTCAAAATTAGTTTCATTTCATATTTAATAATTATCTACAAATGTTCATGTTTTCAGGATATATTTTTGGGAGAAGTTCTTGGTGCGGTTTACATGGTTCAAGGATCTGACCTGAAATCGACAGTAATGCCCAAGCGAATAAGCGTCGTTGCCAACACAACGAAAAGCACAGATGGGCAGATTGTGATCAGCAATCAGAGTTCAAATCTGGTGCATGTGTTAAGTGATTTCAATGGTGATATATATTACAATCGATTGGCAAATTCTTTAGCGAACAAGAAGCAATCCGCCATTATTGCGAACTTCGAAGAACAAAAGGCAATTTGGAGCAGGCTGCCAGATAATTCAGGGCCTAAACATACCAAATTCTTATAGTAGTACTGCTACAAGGGAATAAAGATTACTGCCAAAAGCTCCACCTGGAGCACAGAATATTTAATCGTCTTAGCAAAATAAAATAAAAAATAGGTGGGCTCCATTGATTCTGGCACTAGAGAGAAAGCAATATCATCATAAATTTAAGAGGGGAAGAAGCATTGCCTCTAAATTGCAAACTTCTGCATTTGTATTAATATGTAAAGGTTCTAGCTTACAGACAATCCATGACTTTACATTGACTGCAACAAGAATTTTTAAAAACTATATATCCGAAATCTGCAATGATAGCAGGTGACTTCTACAGATATTAAATACAATAAATAACAAATATATTAATCACAAATGCCAGTAAAACCTGGCTCACAGTTAACCATGGTAAAAGATTCAGATTGTAGAACTCTAATGATGAGTGCGAGTAATTAGACTCTCAAAGATGGTGTACAAGTCACTGTTTTCAGGTCCAAATATCGCATCAGCTTTTCTTAGTGTATCCTGCAGAAGTCACAAAAGCTTTAGTGAGCACCAGAAAAATATATCAAGGACATGATAATACTTGATACATAGCAGAGAAACAGTATACCTCTCTGGTCTGCTTGTGTGCATTCAGTTCCTTCACATTGGCTAGGAATGCGCTGAACTGCTCATAAGACAAGCGGTTTCTGCATGGTTGTTAAGTAGAGGTCAAGAGGGCAGTAGAGGTATTCACCCATACTAGTAGTGAATAGCCATAAACATTTTACGTACTCCGAAAGGAAAAGCATTCAAAAGCTTGTACATAAAAGCGGAGACCCAACAATGATTTACAAGTATATTAGAAAAGGAAGGTAAACATAACAAATGGTATATCCACTTCCTGCCTAATAACAGATTGAAATAATGTGTGTTCCAGAGTTGAGCTCATTTACACACATATATATACCTGACTTGGCGAAAGAACTCTTTCCCATCAACTCGTGTTCGTCCTGAAACAAATGCACAAATAATTAAGCAGAATAAATAACTGATAATTTATGAACCAGCATTATGTCCTTAAGAATCACAGCTGTATTCATTTATTATAAACTTCTAGAGATTATACAGACCCAGGTGTTCATATTTTTTCACATGAAGGAAGCAAGTATTTTACAGATAACATAATCTAACTACCCAAGCTATCAAAGCTAACCTGTTGGACTTGGTGTGTCAAATGGAGATGTCATTGCGCTATGGCTACTGGAAAAGACCGAAGACCTGTCATCGAGCCTGTTCATTGACGCAATCGAGATTGAATGTCTCCTTGGTGGTGAAAGTGGTGCATAACCCCTTGGAGGTGAGCCTGGAGGAGTAAGCTTTGGTGTACTGTTGTACGATGGCATATATACATGCGAGCGGGGTGGCCTAGGTTCTGTGAGTGTAAAAGGGTGTTATCTGTTGAATATTAGTGAGAAAAAGTTCACATTCAATAGTGTGAACCAACTGAGAAGTGGCTAGTGCGTGTACCATCTGGCTCAGCATGGCTACTTTCCTCTGAAGCAGAACTTGCAGTTTCAAACAACTGTGATGATTTAGAAGTTGTAAATGCTGAATCGTCATCTGATAAAATCCACAAGTCAAGTTAATTCTTGTGGTCTAAATATGATCTCGTGCAGTACAACTAGGACAAGAACCATGAAAATTCTGCAGTACCTCCGACAGATGGCGCGGGGGAGAAATTCGATGTTTCGGTGAGCTTAGCCTTGGGAATGTTCTACAGGAAAGTATTATAACAGAAAAATTACTTGCTATGCAGATGAATTCTAAGAAAAATCAGGAGAAGAATTCCAGAGTCATTGCTGGGCTACTGCAGGAACTAAACCATTATAACATATAAATGCAGGCAACTTACTGGTTTGTCATCATCTTCCTGAAGTGACTGCATAAGCGTCTTCTTGAAAACTTCCAACTGCGTAACCAAGCAGGAGGAACAAACAGAAAGCAAAGCACGCAATCTTTAGACTCTGAAATCGTAAAGAGGAAACCTCTGTACAGGCTACAGCAGGAGAGAACTTGTGGCATTTTCATACTAACAAGTTGATTTACTTGCATATAATTTGCTATCCACCCTTTGTCGGGAAAAATATATAATTTGCAATCCAGGCCATGAGTAACGACTACACCAGTCGGCATAGGTGACCTTAACAAGTAGAAAATACTACGTATAATTGATATACTGATAAATTTAAGACTGTGTCATTGATATATAGGCATATAGCAGACAGGCATTTCTCGAATTTTGATTCAAAAATGCAGTGCAACAGTATGTCCTGGTCCTGTTACCTTGGCGACATCTCTGTTGAGCTTGTTGACGGTGTTTGACAGCGTCGCCTTCTCTTTCAGCAGCGTCTCCTGCAACCAAAAGACAGAGAAACATCATTTTGTCAATTCGCACTGGAGCACTGATCAAACAGCCAAGAAGTCACCGGCTGAGAAGTGAGCCTGGATGGCCTGGACCACTTGAGGCTTGTCAGCGAAAGCCGAGCTCAGCAAGCCACCGCCGCGGACAAACTGTGATTACCTTGTCGTCCTCGGCGCGGCTGAGGCGGTCGGTGGCGAGCGCGAGCGCGGATTCGAGCTGCTCGACGCGCTCGCGGAGGTCCTCGGCGGCGTCGTCGCGCCGGGCGAGCTGCGCGCGGAGCCCCGCGGCCTCCGCCTCGAGGCGGCCGACGCGGGACGCGAGCGCGATGGAGGTGATCTTGCGCGCCACGTCCAGCTGCTCGAACGGGTCCGCCGGCAGCACGGCCGCCAGCTCCTCCGGCAGCCCGAAGCCCGCCGCCACGGCCGCCACGGGCGCGTCCTCCCCCTCGTCCGACATCACTGCTCCTCCGTGCTGCCGAACCTCCGCCTAACTCTGTCTTCCTCGTCGCCTCGCCCCCCGGTGCATGGTGGGAGTGTTATCTAGGAGAGGGGAGGGAGGCTAGCCGCGGGGGATGAGGATCACGGGACGGGAGGGAGCGCGGGGTTTCTGTGGTGGTGGTGGCCGCGACCGGGAGGCCGTGGGCTTGGGTCGGGCTTTGGAGGCTTCCTCCCTCGTCGCTCTCGTCTCGTGCGTGATGTATGTGCAGCCAGGGCGGGTGGGCTGGGGTCGCCTCGGTCGTGGGGTAATAAGGCTCGCCGCGTTTCGGCGAGGCGGCGTGTGGATCCGGGCGACGCCTCTCCGTTACTCCGGCGCCGGTGCATGGATTGTTGGGGCTGTACTTTAATCTGGACGGCCATTCGGCACGTTTGGTAATGCAGGGCTCTTTTTTGTGTGTCTGTTCAAACCTGGGAGCTTTTATTCAACGAAAGAACTTCTTAGATCATCAGCCAATAAACTGGTGAGCAAGAAGGAAGGTCTCGAGTCGGTCCAATTCTCGGTGACCATCAGCGTGCAAGCATGTTTTGCACAAAGATGGGCCGGTACGTTAGCCGCTCTGGATACATATTGAACATCAAATAAATCAAAAGATAAAGCAAGCTCTCCAACTTCTAGAGGTAAAGGTGCCATCACAGAAAAACTATTGTGGCGATTTTTCCAAAGATTAACAATCTCCAGGCAGTCCGTCTCCATAATCACATGTGTGAAACCGCGCAGATTTGCAAATATAACACCATCACGGAGTGCCAAGGTCTCACCAATAAATGGATCCGTCACTCCAACATGTGGTTTGCTCCATGCACCCAGCAAAGCGTTGCTTGAACGGGCAACCCCCTGCACCCACTTTATCTGAGTCCATATTCAGTGCCGCATCAGTATTAATTTTAACCACACCAGGATCAGGAGGTCGCCACCCATGACCTGGGAGTATCGAAGCATGGGCCTGTGGGATTTCTAACAAGGCCAGGTCCTCTCTGATGCGTCGAACCGAAGAGAAAGGATCCAACTGATCGTCATCATGCGTGATTCTGTTTCTTGAGTGCCATATCGTCCACATAACTGAGATCATTTGAGCCCTCTCAATATCTGAAAAATGATCATCACAAATGATATCACAAGACCAGGTACTAGGATGCAAGCACGGCCTCCGAGTGCCAAAAAGAGCAAAGGCTTGCTCCCAAAATAGCTTAGCGTGAGAGCAATGCATTAGTGCATGCATTAAGTCCTCATTCATAGCATGGCAGACATTGCATCTGCTTATAACTTTGATGTGACGACGCCGCAGAGTGCTTTCATCTGGTAGGATTCCCCTAATGACTCACCACCAGAACACACGTACCTTCGGCAGTACCTTGAGCTTCCATAATTTCTTCCACATCTGCTCGTTTGTCTGTGAGGTATTGGTAACCGTCCCTTCATCTAGAGCAATTCGCTCGTTCTGATTCACAAGAGCACGGTACGCAGATTTGACAGAGTAGATGCCACTTCTTTCATGGGCCCAAGCTTGGAAATCATCCCCACCACCCCGTCGTAGTGGGATATTCAGAATTGCATCGGCATCAGGGGCTATGAAGGTGTCTCGGATTAGCTCCCTTCGCCAAGTCCAATTATTAGTATCAATCAACTCATCAACAGTAGCCAGTGTGGTTCCTCCTGGCATAACCGTTGGGGCAAGGGTGGAGAGACCGGGTATCCATTGGTCGTTCCAAATGGAGATAGAGCTCCCGTCACCCACCCTCTTAACCAGCCCTGTTTGAAGCCCTCCTCTTCCTGCCACTATAGCTCGCCCAATGGCCGAGGCTGATTGCGGAACAGTAGCCTCCATGAATTCAGAATCAGGGAAATAACGTCCTTCATTACCCGCACACATAGTGAGTTAGGGTTTGTGATGAATCTCCATCCATGTTTGCCCAAGAGCGCAAGATTAAACAGCTCAAGATCACGAAAACCCATTCCACCACAGATTTTTGGAGATGCAAGTTTCTCCCAAGACGGCGAATGCATAGACCGTCGATCAAGGGATCCACTCCACCAGAATTTTTCCATGCTAGCAGTTAACCCTTTGCGTACCTTCTTTGTCAAAAGAAAGCAGCTCATGCTGAAAGTTGGGATAGCTTGGATGACTGATTTAATGAGTGACTCTCTTCCAGCGCAAGCTAGAAGCCTCTCTGCCCAACCATTCATCTTCCCCTTCGATCGGTCACCGATATGATCAAAGGTGCCACTGGTGATCCTACCAACCGCGGTCGGTAGACCAAGGTATCGATCACTGAAAGCTTCCACCTGAATGCCTAGGACAAACTTAACAGTATGCCTTTTGGTGTTCGGCGTATTTGGTGAGAAGAAGATAGCACTTTTATCTTGATTCACTGACTAGCCCGAACACATTGCATATATGAGTAGAATAGCATTGAGCCTGTCAGCACTCTCCTGTGTTGCACTAATAAAAATGAGGTTGTCATCGGCAAAAAGCAGATGGCTCACCCAGGGCGCTCGAAAAGACACTCGTATGCCCCTGTCCACATAACCGTCTCCATAAGAATTCAACAATGATGTGAGACCTTTCGCACAAAGGAGAAAATGAAACGGTGACATGGGGCAGCCCTGTCGCAGACCCCTAGAGGGATCAAAAAACGGAAGGAGCTCGCCATTCACCCTAATTGAAAGGGCATTTCCCTACTTTATGTTTTGGATGATGATGACAACCCTTTGTGGTCTAATCGTGTGCTATATGTTTCAGGTTCTCGATGCTTAGGCTTACATCGGATTGCTATTGCCTCTCGTAGGAAAAGATCGAAGACGTGTCCTCTACGCTTTTATTTTCTTTGGTCGTAGAGTTCCCGTACTATCAAGAGGGAATCCTCATTAGGAAGCTCTAGGGGAATCAGTTCACGTACACTTTCCTCACCCCTCCTTTGTCTTCCTCATTTGTGAGAGAGAGATCCCCCTGTCTTTCCTTCGTGTTTCTGCTCTTCCCAGCGGTTTTACCGCTCCCTGGAGCGGTTGTACCGCTGGACCTTGACGCTCTCCTACTTTGACCGAGCGGTTGTACCGCTGCCTCCCGGCGGTGGTACCGCCACCTTGCTCAACAAAGGCTAGGACGGTGGTTCCGGCCATGCACCGCTCAAGTACCGGTCTCATCTCTGTTCCGAGGCGGTAGTTGTGCGGTGGTGGCCCGGTTGATCCGGTTGATCCTCGTTGACCGGTACCACCGGTGGTCTGAGCGGTTCTTCTGCTCAGAACTTTGCCGCCCAAGAGCTCAAGGCCATGCGGTTGTTCCGGTCTTGCACCACTCAAGTACCGGTCTCGTCTCTGTTTCGAGGTGGTAGTTGTGCGGTGGCTGGGCGGTTGGTCCGGTCATTCTCTTAAACCGGTACCACCGCCTAGTGGCCCGGTTGTACCGCCTGGTAGGGTTCTGCAGCTACACCGTGAGTCCCGGTTGTACCGGGACAAGGACCGGTTGTACCGCTGCGGGGCTGAAAGCGCAGCAACGGCTGGATTTAGACAGTTGGTATTTAAGAGAGCTTCTCCCACCTACCACTCTCACCTTTGACCTCTCCCACTCCACCATTAATGCACCTCAAGCTCTCTTGCCCGATCTCTCTCTCTAGCCACTCAAACTTGTTGATTTGCTAGGGATTGAAGGAGGAGACCTAGATCTACACTTCCACCAAAGGATTTTTGCTTCTCCCATACTTTCTTGTGTGGATTTTGTTACTCTTGGGTGTTTGAGCACCCTAGACGGTTGAGGTCACCTCGGAGCCATATTCCATTCTGGTGAAGCTTCGTGGTTTTGTTGGGAGCCTCAAATTAAGTTGTGGAGAGAGCCCCAACCTTGTTTGTCAAGGTTCGGTCGCCGCCTTCAAGGGCACCAATAGTGGAATCACGGCATCTCGCATTGTGTGAGGGCGTGAGGAGAATACGGTGGCCCTAGTGGCTTCTTGGGGAGCATTGTGCCTCCACACCGCTCCAACGGAGACGTACTTCCTCTCAAAGGGAAGGAACTTCGGCAACACATCCTCGTCTCCACCGTCTCCACTCTTGGTTATCTCGTGCCTTTATTTGAGCAAGCTTATTTGTTTCTTATCTCTTGCTTGCTTGTGTTCCTCTCCTTGTTGCATCATATAGGTTGCTCA